AAATCAAAGGTTGGCAAAGATTTTCTGTAAAGGGCCAGAGAGTAAATATTTTAGGCTTTGAGGGCCATACAGTCTCTGTCACAACTACTCAATATGCCATTGTAACACAAAAACAGCCTACAGACAATTTAAACTATGGGTGTGGTATGTTCCAATAAAATTTTATAAATAGCAGGCCTTATTCTGCCAATCCTTGATATAGATGAAAAGCATTGGCTATGCGTTGAAAGTTGTTGGAAGCTAAGCAATAGGAACATGAGATATATTATTCTTGCATGTATCTTGAAATTTTTCATAATAAAGTTTAAAATTAAAACCTTTTACTGAGCAATCCTCCTATATATGTCCATCTCATTCTTCCCTTCCACAGACCACCTCTTCCAGAAAAAGTCCCAATTTGACTTTACATATCTTCCTTCTTTCAGTCATTATCCTCCCTAAACAACGGGCAATTTTTTCAACCAGATTAAATTCGTGTAGATTGCATGTTACACGCATTAACTTTCTCTTTAAATTCTAAAATTACTTAGAAGAAGGATCTTGTGTATAGACTAACATAAATTTGGTGGCCTAAGAGGAAATGTAGCATCTTTCATCATTGGCTCTGAACTCAAGTCTCTCTGGCACATGGGAAATGAAACTTTTAGAACCCTACTGGGCCTGTTTGTTGTGAGGTATAAGGAAGGCCAGACTGTTTTTGGTAAAGCTGCCTCCATAATCTGACATACCTTTAGATTTTACAAGATTTTTCTTAGCTAAAGAGGTAAAATCAATGGAAGAGGCAACTAATTAACAGCCATAGATTACTGGAAACCTAGAATGAGATAAGGCTTGAAGGCATTACAATACAAGAAGCACCCTCTCATCCCCAATTCCACAGATGAAGAAATGAGGACAATCCCAGCATTCCAATTAATTGATGTGAGATCAAAACCATAATGTGCATTGAAAAACTATAGTAGTATTAATAAGCAAAGTTTTATTCTACTAATATAAGATATACAGTACATCTGTAAATGTTGACAGATTCACCAAACTTCTGCTTCTGAGCACTGTCAAATGTAGTTATTCAATAATATTGTGTCAACTAAATGAAATATATTCTATTAGGTACTATAGATTACTATACAGCAATTCAAATATTTCCCCCTCTTCTATAATTACAGACACATAACCGTTATACAAGATAAATGTGGTGACACTATAAGACTGTGTCAAAACATCTTGGAATGCAGATAAGACTATTACTCAGGCTAGGGTGAGATGACAGAATGGAGAGAATAGCACATTCCCTGAAAACTGCAAAGTACCGACCCAAAGCCCTTAATATTATCATGAGACCTGCATCTAACACAGATGTCAAATTTGGTTCCATACATTCTAATTTGAACTCTTGTGTACTTGAAGATCTCTAACATGAAATGTCAGAACCTAAAATACTGCAGGTCCACCAACAGTGAAGTCACATTGTTGGAAATTCAATTTTACTGGGCTAGCTTTCATATAGCTATTAAAGTCAAGTTTGAGGAAAAGCAGAGCGCTTGGATCAATGGCTTCTGGCTCACAGACCTAAATAAGGCAGCTGCAAAGAACAACAGGTTCTTTAAATAGTGCTAATAGCTGCAAAACAGAGCACAGATCATCACATATGTTCAGGAAGGACTGATGGTCAGATATCAGTCTTTTCAGGCTCATTCACAAACACCAAATAATTAGCATCAACATTGTCTCCATCTTTGTACTCCAATAGCATTGTTATACAATACAGCTAATTCTAGTTGAATATGGGGTACTCTTTAATACAATGAATTCTTATCTAAATTTGAGTAATATGGCTGTTAAACATTACAAGCAAGTCAGGCAGATGAACACATCCTACTGTGCAATATTTCCCCCACATTCTGTCCTCTACTGGACAAACACGTCTTATATCCATTAATCAAGAGGAAAAGTGAAAACTCTGGCTAACTTCTGGTTGGGTCATGAACAGAGACACCTGTAAACACCTGCAATCTTTAGGTGGTCGATTCAGAAAATAAGCAAAGGAAAAGAAAATCTTAACACTTCAATAATTTTTAATGTATAGTAACTTCAGGGGAAAACTCATAAACACTAAAAGCAATATTTTTACCTTCTTAAGCATAAAAGAATGCACACATTAAAATTTTAATTTAAGCCTTAAAAAGTTGCAATTATATAAGGAAAGCTTCTTCACTTTAATCCATACCAACTGCTCACTGAGGCACATCCATACTAACATCACAGAAAGCTTTTGATTGAAGTCAATTTTTCCCAACCAAGATCTAGGCTACACTCAAAGTGAGATTTTTAGAATAATCTTTAAAATAAGGAAAGCTCCAAAAAGTTAAGCAAACAAGATAAATGTTTAAAACATTAAACAGGCGAAGCTCAAAATTTTTTCCCTATTTTATAGATCATTCTATAATCTCACTTCAAAGGAAAAAAAGACATCAAACTTTTCATGTTGCCAATCCTACTTAGAGCAATATACTTTGAGTCTTATTGCCAAAAGGTACTTAAATTATTCTGTCTAAAGGTTTGGTATTTAAATTTATTTGCCTCAATCAGCTTGTATAACAATCAAGTTTCATATACTTATCACAAAAGTACAAATACACACTAGTACATTTTGTCCTTTTATTAATATATACTTTTCTAAAGAATACACATCATTTACAAAGAGCATAATTGCCTCAATCAGGAACGGTAATTTAAATTTTTCTGAAAGGATAACATTTTCCTGCAATTTATGTAAACATCCTTCAATCTACAAATCACAACCATACACAAATGTGATGTTAGACCAGGGGTCGGCAAACTTTTGAGACAGAACGTACCCAAAGAGCCTCATGTGGCTCGTGAGCCGCAGTCTGCCGACCCCCGTGTTAGACTAATACTTTAATTACTAGTTGTTGCTAAGTTTCACTCTTGCCACAGTGCCTCATCCCCATCGTTCACTGTGTTTTCCATCAAGGTTGGAGAAGCCAAAAAGAAAAGATGTAGCTCAAGCAATGGGACCAATTTTCAGGATAATGCATAATAATATTAGCTAATCAAAAACTGAAATACTTCTATCATTTAATCCTTCAAGACAATAACCTCCCATTTTCCCTCACTCACATTCTGCCACTTGACAGAAGCCTGGAAAAGAATGAACCCTGAAGAGAAAACCCTTCACAGATGTGAAAGCAAATTAGGAGAGGAAAATGGAAACCCTGCAACGACCTTTGTTCTATGCAGAAATCTGTTCTGTAATACTAATGACAAAATGACTCAACCTCTGCTTGAGCTGCTCCAAAGATAAGTGCTTTCATGTGAGGGTGCCCATTTTACTTATTAAGACAGCTCTAATTGTTTCAAAGTTCTTTCTTCTCTAAGATTGAAATGTATCTACCTGTAACTTCTACTTAGAGCCTCTAGAGCTACACAGAACAAGCTTAACTCTGCTCTAAATGAAAATCTTTAGGTACTGGAAGGACTTCCTCCAGGCTCTCATTTTTTCCAAGTGTTCTAGTTCCCATTTTAAAAATTTGTGACTTATCAGGCCAGCCAAGTGGTGCATTGGTTAAGAACTGGCTTGGAACGCCAGAGCGCCCCAGTTCGGATCCCACATATGTGGGCCAGTGACACTGCCCTCCACAACTAAGATGCTGAACAACAGCTCAACCTGGAGCTGGGTTGCCGTGAGTGGTCGGCGATGGCGTAGGCTGCAGCCCCTGCTTCAGTGGGTTGCCATGGGCTACCATGTTTAGCCAGCAGCCACCGTGAGCGGCCATCCAGAAACCGGTGACTGATCTGCATCACCTGGGAAGAGCACAATGATGGTGCCAACTTGGCCCAGTGAAGCAACGTCCTCCACAACTAGACTGAAGAACAAAAAGGACAGCAACTTGTCTGTTCCCCTCCCCCAATTCCCCAATTTAAAAAAAAAGAAAAAAAGAGTTGGCTTCAGGCACTAGGGGCCCTGAGCAGCAAAGCCCCGGTTCAGATCCCACATGAGGGCCAGTGACTCTGCGGCCTCTACAGCTAAGATGGTGAACAATAGC